ATTAATACTTACTACTATTAATTTTAAGAGGAGATTTGACGCCTGCTAAATTGGTTGCACTTACATGTATTTTTTTTTTGGAACGATTTAGAAATTGTCAAGAAATCAATGTTACTTCGTTGCGTTATCAAAAGCATAAGAAGACTCTGCACAAAAGTGCGTTTAATGGTAAAATTTGGGTATGGGGTTTTACAATGATGCATGCGTGACATTTGAAGTCTACGTGGCACAAGAGACACTTGCTTCAACATGTGTGCAACAGATATTGTGTGCACAGTCAATGACACAAATCCACACAGGTTTTTTGTACATTGGTCTGGCGCCTACTATGCTGTGTTTACAGATTAAATTTCATTACTCGAGTGCGTTTGCAGAATTCGCCAAATCTTACCTAGAAATCAACAAATACACACAAATGCACAAAATAGCTGATCGAAAGAGTAGTGGCCAAAGCGGTGAAAAGAAAGTACGATGATAGTGAAACTGGCCACAAATATGACAGGAAAAAGAAGACTTGGCAAAAAAGCACAAAAACAACCGTTTATACCTACGCAAATGCATATATGCGGTACAGATCCTTTCATTTGACCATAGAGAGCAATTTATGTTCTTACTGCATGGCCTTCTTCTTCTGCTCTTTTTATTACAGTTGCACATCGTAGCGTTCTTCCTTTTTTTTCAAGCACCTCTTGTACCACCACTACTGCTGTTCCCCAAGAAGTATCGTCAAGCGCCGTCAACCAAATTCCTGACAAGAGGGCCATCAGGTGCAACCTTATAAAACCAGTTTACCATCCATAATTCTCCGCTAATGCCACCAACCTTGGTGGAAGGGCTTAAGTTGCACACCAAGGACCGTTTGTCATTAACATTTTCTGCATTTCCATGCATTCTCTGGTTCGAACTAATCCCAGCGCAGCATAATAAGCAGTGCAACTATGTAGGGACAGTATGGGTTGCATACAACGCCGTAGTGTACGTGTTTTAAGTCAAAATGCACGGTTTATTAAAGTCTAGGCAGCTTTGAATATTACAAAATGGACAAAGGGAGCTCAAAGAAAATTAAGGTACATGTTTACATTTGTTTTTAATTTAGACCCATGTCCTACCGACAGTGGTTCGCACTATTTCTTCTACTCGTGGCGGGCATCATCGACGGATATGCGATCCACAACTTATGCCAAATGTATCGGTTAATGACAGAATATTGCCAGAGCACTGACATATAGACAGTGCCTGACATGTAATTATCTCACGTTATTATCAACTCTAAAGTCGGTGTGAATCGACTAGGGAAATTTGCTGTAGCTTTTGTGGGCTCCATGACTAGTTGACTGGACATGCAGTGTAAGTGAGACCAATATCATGTTCCACTTAGCAGCTCAGATGACAGCAAAACAAGCGTTCGCTTGGCATGAGCTTGCTGCGTTGTACACGTTACTTTTCGTCTTCGCTTGAGCAGAATGACGAATTTTGACGCATCCTCCACCAACTCCTCCAGCGTGCCTCATCACACTCTCAAGGGCATCGTGTTGATCAGCATTTACTGCATAGTATCCAGTTTCGCTAGCGTCTACACCAAATAAGTGCTCAAGAAAAGCATCCGCGTGAGTCCATTATACGAATGTTTGGTGTTTATAGGTAACTGGGATATATGCATTTTCGCACTGTGTCATTTTCAGGTGAGCTTGAATATTCAAAACACGGCTCTGTACATATTTGGCATCGTAATCAACGGTCTTCTTTACTTGTTTCAGGAGGCCAACGTTACGGGTGAGTTCGTTAACAAAACTAGGTGCATGAAAACATTTGCATATAAAAGTGCGGCACTTCAGGGAGACGAGGTCTCCACCCCTAATGATGAGGGGCTTTGAAATCTTTTATTTATTTTTTGAGATTCACTTGCATCCTTGATACTCACTTACCCACTTTGTTATCCTGCTTTGGTGATAGGATGATTCACCAATCCTACTGTCGAATCAAATTGCCATACCCTTATGGACGAGAATAGTCATTTGGATTTTGTTAGTAGCCAAAATGCCCGCGTTCACTTAGCAAGTGTATGCATCACTCAATCATTGCTGCTAAGGTCGTCTTGAAAGTTGAAAGAGCCTTTTAGCATTCTACAAAATATCCCTAAGCACATGTCAATGTTGGCAGGAGGGTGCCGTGATAGTCTTTCGAAGTAAAGTTGGAAGAGCTCCCTGATGGTAATGTGTACTTGTCGAAGGCGTAAAAGAGTCAGCAATCGCGTCTTCCAGGCATGTGCACCCATAAAATGCCTGAGCTAGAGTGTGCTCATAGGAAGTGTAGGCGGTTTCATTTTGTGTCGCCCCAAATTGAAGCTGTGATTAAGTGACTCATTCTGCTAATTTACTTTTTTGATGGAGGTTTTAATATATTTTGAGGATTTTCGGTTTACACGTGGATCCTGGTTGTGACGCAGGCAATCAGAGGAATTTTCATAGGCTCCGTGATAAAATGCGCCAGTAGTATTCTTCGCCTTTTCATAATATCGTCAGCAGTGATCGTGACAACGGCGCTTTCGGTGCTCATTTTTGGCCTTGTCCTAAAAACAAGCTTTTTCATCCCTGCTGGACTTGTTGTCTGTGCGCTAATTCTCTACCACCTCTGAGTAGTTCCTTTGATTTTGCTGACTAATTTTGTAACATGTAAGATGCCCTTTACTTCAAATACATAGAATGATTGTTCTGTAAGAAATCTGGTTGATCGGTCCAACCGTAGCAAAGATATTGAGAATCAGATTAAGCATTTAAATTGCACATGCGCCCTGGTGTCAATGAAATCGAGCAGCATTGTCAATGCAAGTTCCTCATTCCGTGGTGGAATGCTCATGCAAGGGGAACGCCAGCTCCTTGAACATAAAACACTGTATTGTTCTAGAGGTAGGCACGGCTTTTTGTTCGCACAAATGTAGCCCAAGAATGGCAAAAAGATGCACCACTACACTAAAGCCTATATGTGCACGCGAAGTGAGTCACATCCACTTTCGGTGGTTTAATAGTGCCAGTCATGGCTTCCTCGGATGGGACATCCGCGAGCCCTTGCTATCGTGGACGTACATGAAGCTGACCCTCCAAAGGATGCCAAAATCCTGCCAGCCTAATGGGCGCTGGTGGGTTAGAGCACCAAAAGTACTAGCTACCTGTCGCTCTATCATTCAGGCTAGATTGGGTGATGGATTATGCTGAAACACGAGGCTAACTCTGGACGATGCCCGATCCATGGTTTGAGAGCCGCATTGATGAAATTTTGCAAGAAGAGGCTGGGCAGTTATCACAGCAATTGCTGCATCGTTCGAATTGTCCTTATTAATGGCTTGGAGTTGTAATGCGTTTAGTGTTTGCGATAACGTCTACTCGTAAAGAATTGGGGCGTGCTTTTGACGTAAGTCGAAGGAATTGACAACGACTAGGAAGAGGCAATTTTAGAACCACCATGATCACTTAGTATGGCGGCAATTCATTTAATCGTGCGCGCTGTGTTAGCTAAGTTTCATGCTTATACGGAAATCGAGGACAAAATGAAACAAAATTCCAGAGTGTCTAACAAGTTTGATCCTCGAATTGTTGACATGATGCTCACTTTTACTAACGTTTATGCCGTTTTTCCAATTTCGGATTTACGGTGGCCTCTAATCAGCCAGACTACGCAGACCGTATGGAGTGAAACATGTATTGGTTGGGTGAAGGTCTTTAAAACAAGTGCAATATGAGACTGGCTAGTCCAGTGGCTGACCAAAAGGCAGAAGCTGATTGTTGAAATAAGAGAATGCTAAGTTTTTCTGAAGATGCGGAGATACATGTAATGCAGACTGAATTTTGCGAATTATTTAAGCTAAGGTACTGCTCGGGGTTTCGATGTGCACAGAAGTGCCAGTGTGCTCTTGTAATGATGGTCTGCTGGAAAATACAGAAATTTGCTCAGCTTCAGCGAATGATGGCAAAGACTGTGATTCAAGGGCAATTCACAGTGGCTCTTGTAAAATATTACCAGATGTACGGTAACACTTGCGTAACTGTGGGATTAATATCTACTACATAGTACAAAAGACATTTCAATATGTCATTTTGAGTTCGATGATAAATTTGCCACATAAGTCGGAAAATTCGTCATTCGAGCAATTGGGATATGCATCCAAGAGACAAAACAAACAGTCACCTTCTCATTTTCGGGGGTAAGCATGCGGTGTACATCAAGTGATACGCAGGTGGTGTGATGTTGCTTGTAGGTAGGCCTCTGCTTCCGATCACTCGTCCAAGCATTAGCACAGTAACAATTCGCTACCCTCCCTAGATTTAGAAGGAATTTTCCCATTTCACTTAACTTCCAACAGCCCAGAACCGTCTTGCGTATTCATTGCAATCAGCCGGTTAGCGAGTGAATTCGGATGAAGGCAATGATATTCTTGTATAATTTTACTCTGTTGAATACAGGGGACAGAACTCATGGTTGGTTAGATAGTGAAAAGTGCTGTAAAATATTGCCTGTGATTCAAGCCACGAACACTTTTCAGATAATGCGTTTTGTTTTTCTTAAGCATCTGCCGAGGTTTTCTGCAGTAGAGTGCACTATTGTTTCGTCCAGAGCGTCGTCCGATTATTGCGGAGTGCAATCCTACTTCTTTGGTCAGGAAGCTATTCCATTGCCCCTTATTACTAAAATTTTAGCCGAAAGTTTGCGACTAGCAGATTCGCTGGAATATTGCGGTGAGAAATTTACCAATTCATCACCCATAAAATTGAGACCGGTATCGGATGGACGAAGCCAACGGTAAATTACTTGCGATTGGAACCTGCGCAATAGCAGTCGACAGCATTTCAAATGTGGCCGACCACGAAGCGATCTTATTAACTTCGTTTTGGGTTTAAAATGTGCGCCAAAAGACTACACCTCGTGAAGAGATGGTATTATAATAATGGTCGAACATTGACTGACAATTCGATCTCATTAGATTTTCATGAGGATGGAATACAAGCAACGAAAGGCAAGCGAAGCACGAACTGTCGATAACAGGTCGCAGAAGTATCGCTTGCTGCAACAATTGAGTTGATCAATATTGAGAAGAATGGTGAAGCAACGCCGAATTGAGAGATACTTGGTTGTGGCTAAGCGTCTGACCAGTTCCATTGAGAAGAATGCGGAAGAAGGCATGAAAGGAGTTTGGCATGGAAATGTTTTGTCCTAGAGGGGAGTAGAAAAGTCGCAAAAATCTCACCGGTTTCTTTACGTGCGCGAATCATTTTGGGAATGTAAATCCTTATGTTGGCAGAACAACCAAATGTGTAAGAAAAAGTGTCCAGTTGGTAGCAAACTGAATGTAGCTGGTTGAAGGGAGATTGTAATATTCAAGTAAACAACAATGTTTTGTACCACAGATCAGATCGTAGCTCCATTTAACTGAACTTACCTACAACCGCGCTAACATTTAATCTGCTTTGACAAAGGATAAGCATTTGTTGAATAATGCCATTTTGTCCTATTCAATGTCTAATTCAGCTACTTTTCGTAAATGATGGGGAGTTAGCGATTTCATCTGCCTGTGCTATTTGGAACATTGGTTGTTCCCATACCCGATGAAGGACAATGTGATTTTTCTTGCCTTTAGTGTATGGCTTTACACTGAATTGTAATAAGAAACTATAGTAGTTTTCTGTGACTCCCTTATCCAAAAGGGGAAATAGGTCTTTTACAACATAATAGAAGCTTTTAAAATGGTTGCTAGGTTTGGCTAATTTTCCAAAAGCGATGGGGTGGGGATTATATGAAGTAAGGTCGCCTCCTCTCAATGCATTAGAATGATGCCCGGTTGGTGTGGCTACCATTGCACAACGTTTGTTTGACTTTCGATTCACTTCTGGCGACATAATGTTCCCCAACATGGTAGATTTTTATTTCTTACCACAATTATTTTACTACGGAGAATGCATGCAAGTCGCTGAATATCGCTTATCCCTTATGTAGTAAGCAACCTTTATGATATGGCTAAGTGAGAACAAGTGTGCTATCAAACTTACGATATCGTATCAAGTTTTGAAAAGTTTTAATTCATTTTTAACATGGTAAAGCGACTCGGCATGTTTTTTAGATTGGAAACATACTAGCAAATGCTAAAGGATGCATTTGAGGCAAAGTGAAACACTGTCCGTAAATTTTGAACATTACCTCTAACTTCCGTTGCGTTTATAACTGCAAATGCGACGTTTATTTTTAGAGCACAAGCACGTTTATTTGAAGTATAAATGGATAGGTACAGGTAATGGGGAATGTTCAGCTCACAAAACCCAGTTTGTTTTGTCGAAGTCATGCTCACGGGAAAATAGCACGTTGGAATGCCTAACACTTTCGTATTAACTTTGTTGAGGGAGCAAAAAATGGATAAGCCGTCTTGCTGAATAATGATTCCAGTGATGCACTCGCCCAAATTCCTGCTCGAAGTTGGAACATCAAGGCCGAATGCACAATTGTTGGGTACCACATTTGGTTAATCGCCCGACCACATCTAACTCAATGTCGTGGAACTTTGTTATTCCTCGTTTGTGGATTTGGTTAACGGAAGAATCCAAAACTATCAGGTGAATATCAGTGTTGCTACTTTACCTAAACGCACGCGGCTGTCGACATCTAGTTTACAAATTGTTAAGTGCTACTTGGCTTGTCGCATAAAACTAAGGTGACTACTGCGATTGAGATCCACTACAGCGGCGGTTGTAGACATTTAAGAGCCTGGTGATTGAAATGTATGCTTCTGCACTAAACTTGATCAAATAAATATAATTTCATGGGAAATCCTTTAATTTTACGAAGTATGTATGATTCAATGCGAGCAGAGTTGTATGATCAAGATAAGGGCATGTATGTCGGATTGACCAATGCCAAAACGATTGGTTCCGGTCAAGCATGTCCAATTGAGGAGTGCTGATTGGAAAGTGGTAAATTCTTAGGGTTCACTGGAGGCTTGTGCTTCAAATCCCAAACAAATATGAGTGACATGGATTAATCCGCACTCTGCACTGGAATTTATCTCACTGCATTGAACAGTCTCGTAAATTAACCACTGCTCTTCGGATGGTGAGCAATGCACTTCAGAGCTGCTCACGCTACAACACTGTTAGGGGTGGCGGTAAGAACTGAGAGTTGACTACCATCACCTCTCGAATGAGAAGAGGGAGCAGTGCTTAAGATCATTCCATCAAGTAAGTGGCTGTTATGTGAAGTGGGAAAGTGCTAACAGTGGATGGCCACATGAAGTGGGTAAAAAGGCGAGTGGCATTGCGTTTTAAGGCATTCGCGTTGACGTGAATTAATTTGAGCACGAGGTATTGGTAAAGGACTAGTGTCTACATGTTCAACCTTCAAGTGAGAGAGTCACTGTGTCCACCATCCAATTACTCGTTTCAAGCCTGTGGCGCATTTCATGCGAATAACCGTTCCACGTCAAGCTGGAACTTCGAAGCGGCAGGATCTGATATCATGACATAAATAAGCACATAACCGAAAGCACTCCTCACTTAAGGCAAAGACAAGCTCAATCAAACTTCAGTCCATTTGTTAACGTGTATACGTAGCAAACACAGAGGATTGCCTTGGTTTCCTGTCTCTGTTTGTGTTTTGCACTAGGTAACAGGCGAGTTTCGCCGAAAACGGAACTGGCTGGAGTCAACCATGTCTTAAAGCCTAACCAGATTATCACCATTATTGGTCACTAATGAACCCTTCAACGGTTTTCCAATTTCCTGCTGTTCCATTACACCACCGCTGTACTCCCAGATATGTCCAAATATGTCAGAAAGACAAATGGTAACTATTTCTCAGACCCAGAAGGCTTGAATAACCTACTGGTGAATGCACAAATGTGGAAGGCCAGCTGCGTGAGTTCAAGTTATTCCCCATTGCACTACCTATCATGGTCACCCAGCAATCAGGCATGAATTGGGGTGCCTTCTCATACGTGCCGTTGTTGATGGCCTTCCGGTCGCATTTGAACGCCTCACCCGTATCAGACATTCCTATTGGTTGTGTGCAGTGGGGACAACTGAGGTGCGCACGTGCTCGTGCTGCGTCTACCCATACAACCGGTGAGCGTGCATGTCCCAATAACTGCAGCCTAATTGACCTCGCAGTGGAGTGGACAAACTCGTCAGATCGAACATTCCTTTAGTCGTTAAAACTTGGACTAGAATCGACTGCTAACAATCATTCTCCCCTTACCCTTATTGGCAGCATCCGAGTGGACAACCAGTGTGCTTTAAAATCGTATGCTTTATACCACAATAGACGGCAGCAGTGTAACTTCACCAAGCGAAAACTTCCCTGGCACTTTACTTGAATAATCGGAACGCAATTACGTAGATAATTTTGACGACAGTGCTTGAGTGTACAAAAGACAACTTGATGGTGATCTCGCAATAAAGCCGTGTCTGACCTACTATACCACTTTGAAAGCTCGTCTAATGCCAAATAAGAATCGAGCACTACAATGAACAGTCAAAAAACGACTTTAGGACAATTACTTTGCCAGGTTGTTGTGGAGGGAATATGAAGCAATAAACTGATTTGGAAGTAAGATGTCGGAATGGACACTATTAAGCACTGCTCTTTCAACAGTTAACTGGGAGGACCAAGAGACGTCGTAGGATTCTGGATTTCCAAAATGTGGTCGGTACAGCCTCCGAGAGTGATGATGCTCTATGGCTAAGCACACCTCAACGAGGCCTCCAGCGGCTAAAAGGTGAATTGCATTTAAAATGAAAAAGTCATCGTCACTTTCATGCTAAATCACACAAGATTGCAAAGAATATCCAAAGAACCATTCAACATAATCACCCCCTTGGATCGCTATCCCGCTCCGAGTGAGTTCCCAAAAGAACTTCCCATATGTCATGCCATTTAATGGAGGTAGATATAGCTTGGTAAATTAGTTTACATTTTCTATCTAAGGTATGATTAACCACCAAATGATGTGAACGATGTTGTATAAACACGGAGCACAAAGGGTTTAGGCAAAAACTGCTGCATGCTACAGTCCGCCCCAAAACTTCGACTCTCCGATTCATGAGACATCCTGAAACTCAAGATATTTACAAACAACCGAGTTAAAGAATCTAAACCCAATTAGACAAAAGATGACACCGAACCACAACCCCGTTCTGCAAAATTTGCTGCAACGGACGTCAGCTGCAGAAATGTCATATCGGGCAAAGTGTTATTTATTAAATCAAAATTGTTTCCAACTGTTTTGACAAAATTAATACACCGATTGTGAACAATCCAAATACTGCAATTCTCGAGTCTCAAACACCGACATGCATTCCGCGGTTTTGTTGATGACACAATGCACTTAAAATGTCCAACATAAGTTATTACGACCTTGACTTACACAATACGTTCTATAGGCATACAACACCCTCCTGCACCGAACGACGACGAACAGATAACAACGGCAGCATATTTCGGGAAGGCCTTTCCTCTTCCATTTGCTTGCTCTCCGAAACTTCTTGCTTTTGAGTCAAAGTGGAATCAAAGTGGCAAATTTACCTCCCACGAATCCAAGGTGGGATTTGTCTGACAAAGAGGATGAGCAACCGATACCAAGTGGCTTCAGTTCCTGCCATGAAGCCAAGGCAGACGACGCACAAGTCGGCCGAAGCAACACGCACAGCATAACTACGCGTGGCTATTTTGGGACGTTAATAATTGTTAAGGTCGAAGCATAATATTGACAGACAAAATGGACTTTCGTACTTCAAATTTTCCCAGTAACGCCACAAGTAGGTCCCTGGTAGTAGAATTGACTGTAGTACCTATTGCGAACTGGCAAACCCTAGTAAATAACACCGTTTTAGTACATTTACAGATTTTTCAGCCTGACCCCAATCGAAGACTTTCCCCAAGGACCCCAGGGAACTGAAAGCCAGAATAACATCCTTGTCTTTGTGATGCTGAAGCACCTCCTTTCCCATACATAGCTCATAAGTCCACCAATCGGCAAACTACTAATGTAAAAAGAAAAAAGTGCCATCTCACCCAAATAAGGCAACCAGATGTATTCCATGAGGCAAAACACTTTGAATGTTATCGAAGGTATTTTAGGAACTAGGTCTGGGTACCCATTTCGTTATACAACCTTTGGCACAATACAACTAAATTGTTGACCAGTCACGGATGCAACTTCAAAGTGATTTCCTTCAGCCTGTAATTGCAACACAAGGAAAAACGACCAAGCAAACCAGTTATTCTGCCCATTTTTTTCCTTACATTGATATTGCACGTCACCAAGTCCATATCCACTGAAGCAAATCCACATATGTAAACAAGGACCGACACCACACATACGCCGAACCGCGTTACGAACACATAGCACACTGCTAACTTCTGCAACCAATCATCAGGTCGACCTTGGACTTAGAACAGCCTAACCACTTACATCATGTGCAACTTGAAGCTCAAACCACAATTTGTGGGACTGATAAAATTGTGTTTTAAATCCAGAAATGGTGCTATCGCATAATTTTCTGAGGAATGGCCCAGCACTTAAAGTTCAACTAAGGCTTTACTTGCAAGACAAGAGCAGACCAAATCGGACTTGAAAAAGACGCCAAGTAAATGCACTACATCTACCTAAAGCATGTTTCATAATCGCCTTTTCGATTGTCAAAAGTAGTGCGCCCAAAGGAGTTGATGCATTCTGGGTAATAATTTCACAAATCTGCATCGTATAATGCAGGCAACTCTGGCGAATGTCTTCAGATGTAATTTGCCCAAATGGGAGGCTGAAAGCACAGGCGAACAAAACATTGTCACTGTGTTTAAATATCCCATGCTGAGTCTGCTGACTTCAAAGTTTGAACTTGGTCCATTGATGAATTAAGAGCCATTGGGATAGTGGTTAGAGGTATCATAAACTTTGCCTAAATAATTTGGCATCCAGTAAACTCGTCGCTTCGCTATCACCTGGGGTTCAAGTAATGCCTAGTGTTTGTGCTGTCTGTATGGAGGTGCCTTGTGAGCTTAGTGCACCTCCTACAACTACGTATTAAATACTCTTACTATTCCATTGTCTTTAAGCTCCGACGTGTTAAGTACGATCTACCGACTTAACTGCCGTAGACAGCAGCATTTCAGTTAATTTTGGTCGCATTCAAGTTGAGACCGTGTCATTAATTCCGATTTTATGGGTAGTGATTTACTGATGCTTTTGTAGGCTAGCTCAAGGAAAAAGCGCACTCCTACATTACTTTGACACCACTGGCTTTCCTCTTCGAACAGTGGGCAAGGGCTCTCTTCAGGCGTCAAATGGCTTATGCTCGATCCACAGACGTGCACTTCTGGTTACTGACTCGTAGGGAGAACCATTAGTAGTTATTCTTGGACAGAAAAGAAGTTCGGTTCTTTTATTGCTGTAGGTACATCGTTGGCAGGATCTAGGTGACATAATCTGGAGGTCATGTAACCACTGTCTGCAGAAGCAACCCCATTTAACGTTATCTTCCTCCTTTCTCAATGATTTGCACATTACCCTTCCTATCCATCGTGCAATGTATTCACACGTATTACCTTTATACCTGGTTCCTGATGAGCGGTTGAATACTCTCTGGGCTGCTCAATCATGCTAATGCTTATTTAATTCGATCACATGCATGCCGTCGAATTCATGGCGCCTGCAACTCCGCGAGGTCCTATCTTCAAAGACCCATTTGAGTGTGAGAGTGGCTCTGCGTGAACGCTCTCTCTAGCATAAGCAAAACACAAAATCGGCTGAATCCTGGTGAGATTGTATTGCCCTTCTTTACTGCAAAGCGTGCCTCCTCTTCTCGCCCATGGATGCTCTTCTGTAATTTGTTGCGATTCCCTTTCTAAATAGATTTTCTCCCACCGCAAATAAGGGCTCACTTGTCTTGTAACGAACCTAGTAGGAAACATACACCTACGCAAAAAGTGGGTAGTGCTAGGATCTGAATTTATTCACCCATTTATTTCAACGACTCAATTGCTGGCATATCATTGTGAGTAGGTATATGCCCGCAGGAAGGCACCGTAGTGAAAGCGAAATTGAGCTGCCAACATTGACATCGAGGTAAGCTTAAAAAGACGGCATTGGTGCCCAGCAGCATTAAAAATGAACCTTGGGGCAATTGAAATGGATTGTTGCTGGAGCCCGCCTTCTTCGAATGAGTGGTCGAAAGTTCCAAACACGAATGGGAAAGTGAGTCCCCTCACCAATGGAAGCACTATGAATGAATGGGAGAAGTTGTTTTGCATGAAAATACTCTGCTTAAACGTAGTCTACTTTTGCATTTTGACGCCCAATCTCCACTTACTGCTGACAGTACCCACTTTAAACTCTCTCACTTCATTTTGACTACTACGAGGCCACGAAGCAAATGCATTCGCATGGGTCAAATTACTTCTTCATGATGATCAGATCTGACTCTATATTCTACAGTTACTTCACACTGGGGAAATGGAATCAGCTGAAGAGAGGTGGAGGACAAGATGGACTGAAGTCTGATTAAGCTTGTCTGTGCCACAGGTGAAGAGTGTTTTCGAGGTTACGCTTCAGTGCTGCCAGGCGTCAGTGAGCCTACAAGGTGGTGCTTTGCATTCTAATAAACCAAGCAAATGAACATCAGCATATTTGACGTAAAGGCACGTTGGCGACAAGTAGTTAGTAAGGTGGAATAAAAAAGCCTAATTGAGTGAAACCACATCGCACTGATAATCTGTGCACTCTCTTTGAAGCCGAATTCTTTGAACGAAGTGATGAATTTTACCGATTCGTGCAACTTGATTAAGCTGCTTTGCCAAATTGCCCACAATATTGCGTCCTGTGCTCAGATTTATCTCTTCTTCATGCTGCATTTTGTAAATGGAATGTCCTGAATTGTGGTGAGCACTAATAGCAGTTGACTTTCAATGGCTGCACCAAATGATGACGTGTTTGTGAGCAAATCAGAAAGTGCTTCGAACACAGCACATACAAGAGGTGGAGTTGCCAACTTACTGTCGGCCTGGGCTGAACACATTGATCAGAACTGGTGCAAACAAAAAGCATACGGGGAAGCGCACAAATGCAGATTAAGGCTTTGTCCAGGTATACTCATATGACAATGACATACTCAGTGCACGTAGAAGCGTAGGGGGAAGCCAGACAAGAGCAAGGATGATGTTAGAGTTTGCATACCCACTTCGATATAGGTGAAGCCTATTACATGTTTAAGGTAATTGGAATTCAACGTAAAAGCAACGCTCCTTCATCTACTGCCAGCCAACTTGTCCATCCGATTTTGAACCAGTTCTCAGTGTACCACCTAGTGAAGAGGTCGACCACTTACCTATGAACGCGTGGTAAATGAAGGCTTTTCCTGTGCTTTTCCATCCTGGTCGCCTTCCATTTGTAACTCTTGCGGATACAGACAGGCACCATTCCAACGTCAGTGTTGAGCACAGTGTTTGATCGTCTACGGGGATTAACTGCAGCGCTCCACAACACTAACCACAACAACAAACAGTATTATTTCTTCAAAAGGAACGACATTTTCTAGCAAGTCAATTAGTAGTTTACACATACACATGCACACATGCCTTGATACATGCGTGCACACATTTGTTTATTTATCGATGCGAATGCTCACCGCATCATCATCACGAAATACATGATGAACATACACTTCGCAAACACATCTTAAAGAGTTTAAGTCAGATCAGTGCAACTAGTAGAACATCAGCGGCTTTAACTCATCACTCATTTAATGTGGAAGTAAAACTTTCCCCTCCTTCCTTTCGAGCAACGAAGGGATCGAAGTTAAAACAGGATAAAAATTGACTCAACACTCCACTTTTAACTCATTAAAATATTGCACTCCATCTCGGCACCGGATCGCATCATATTGTGACAAAGAGTGCATCTCTTCAAAGCAGTCATCTTGGACACTTGTTCACCATCAGCTCACCTAGAGAAGTGGTTGTCAAGTGTGTCACTAGTGCTGCAGCCGACTCGACAACAAACGCTTTTTTGTCAGCAAATAGCCTTTGTTCCATACTTCTGCCTTATCCCTAACATCATCTGAATATATCCATTTGAACAAATTGTCATTTAATCAACCATGGAAGGACCATAATACCAGCCACAGATTTAATCACGCTTTGGCTGAGTACAGCTGCTAAATATGCTTTTCGAGTTGTAGAAATTTATTCAATCACGGATATGGAAGCAGTGGGTTTGACTAAATTTGCCAAAGCATGCTAAATCAAATAGCAAATCGAATTGAGCGTTTGAGAGCGAGGCGTCGTGACTAGCAAGGAGGGTATTTTTTTGCACTTATCGTGAAGGCATGAGATAATCGTTAGTCGATCATGTCGCATGCGAAGATTAAGATGCTCGAATCCTTTGAAGTCATCAAGTGGTGATCAGCATTCAGTCGGGTATTCGAATACCCACTAAGCGTGTCGAATGCATCTCAGAGCCATAGTAGAGATTGATATTGAGTGAGTGACGAGAAGAGTAGACAGGGATGAAGATAGACGAAGAGTGATGGCAGAGTGGATGGGAGCAGTACACTAAACTATAATCAGAGTCCAACTAAATAATAGTGCATTCGCACAATTACCTTTACGCCTCAGGCCATCTCAGCCGAGCTTGACAACATTTTATTTTTAGCTCAAAGACGAGCCATCTCGTCTTCCAAATTTTCTTTTGTCAATTTCGCTGTTTTCTCTGGGAAGCGAAGGCTTAAGGCCTCAAAAGTGTTAATGTTGCCATGGGTACTTCCGTATAATGTCACCTAAACGTAATTCACAGCTGGAGAACTTACCATTGCTGTGCCAGTAAGTCGATTCTCCAAAAGAATTTGAGTCCAAGGGAAGCGAAAGTCGCAGATAAACTACAAGTGTTTTCAGTGCCACTTCCTGCCTGGCTTTAAAGTGGCTTGCTTTTCACTTGAATGCTGCTCGGGGATATATAAATCTCAACTGATTGAAGTGGAAAGACATTACAAAATGAGGAACACAAATATTCATCCAAGGTTTGAGTTTCTTTATAAAAAACCTCTAGAAATCTAATGACACGCTCTAATCTGTGCAATCCGAGCAAATCGAACTGGCACATGGCAAGCTGAACGTCTTCGTGTAATGACGGCTAATCTGCTCCGTGAGATGTCGTTTTTGGAAGCCCTTGTCGGACACAAAATTAAAGTCTCGCGTGTTCCGTGTACAGTTTAGCGCGAATTGCATTGTGAAACATGAGGGGCAGTAAGAGTGCAAAATGGCATGTAAATTAAAATCCAATTCATTAAAATGGTAATGCATGAAATTTAGTAGAGTGCGCCTACTCGGAAAGTGGGTGTAGGTTCTGCATTAAGGTGATCACAGCTGGTCAAATTCATAAATCTCCTAATCCAAGTGATTCGCGTTTGGCTTTGAACGTGTTCACATAGGCCGATTAATCGACAATTTGAACGCCCACCCTGTCAATCGGCAATTGTACTTTACTTGACGCTGCAATGAAAACAGTTTTAAACAATTTAGGGATAAGTTTGGCTAAAGTACAAAGGATTATGCAGACCATTAATGGCAGTGCAAGTAATCGTGCAACTTGCAAAACTGCAGGAAACAGTGTACGGGGATTTCGGTTCTCTCGTTGTCCATTCTACTGCCTTCTAATATGACGCATTCCCCTAATCAAAAGGTGCTTCTCGTTTACTTTTTAAATGAGGCTGTGCTTAATAATACAAGCTTGATTTGTTTCTAGAACGTTTTCGGTTCAAAATTCCTTTGAAGCCATTTCAACGTTTACACGCTCCACAATCACTTGGCCCGAATGTTTCGCACCTTCATCAAGGGATCCACACCGCATCTAGTCTGTGTTGCTATCCAGATTCGACTCAATTTTTCCAGAGGATCATACGATGAGATGGCGTTAGAATGCAAACTTTAGAGGCCTTCTCAAGCACGAATCCAAATTGTCATTAAATTTTCGCACACTAATTACTATTAAGCCATCTTTCATAAGAGTGTTTCAAATGAAGCCTGTTAGAATGTGAAAATAGTGTTGAAGTTCTACTAATTTTTCTAAGTTTGCCACATGATCTCGACTATTCAAGTGTTAATTGACGTGAGTACGAACTTTGAAACAGTCTGCGATGTTTGGGAGAAAGTGTGCAAGAGGTGACAAGTGAAAATTTTTCAAGCATCGAAAAAGAGGCGTTTTTTTTGACGTTGTAGACATCTGCATGACGTATGCATGCCACATCACTCTGCTGTGACTGTTACGACCAACGAAGAAAATTGTGGGATTAGTACACTTTGAGAAAGTCGAGTATTTTTACTCACCCTCGCCAACTAGGAAGTGTTTTTGGTGAAAGGTAGATGGCAAAACTCTTGCTTTAACTTGTGTTAATAACATAAAGCAGATGGTCTTAACCATGATATTTACTCTGTAAATTGCCGTGTGTTTTAAATAATGCTCAATGGTATTGTCAGTCTACTTTTAAAAAAGCATTTCACCTCTTATGATTTCCCACTGGAAGCTGCTACACTTCACCTGAGAAAAGCAGTAATTCAAGGAGTTATGATTTCTCTGACTACACCCTAAATGGCCACAATGCTTAAAACGATGCAGGGAATTGTCGATTCAACACTGAGCACAGTTGGCAGGATCATCTTTTGCAAGAAGGACCCACTGGCAGAAGTAATTTCTCTCCAACTTTCTTCTGTGGTTTGGACTTCTTTCCAGCTTAATTAAGATTCAAACAGTATGGTGGATCACAAAACCTCAGGCAACATGGAAAACGGCACTTTGGAAACAATGATAAGGAGTTACTTAAGCGAGGCGGCTTCTCTAAAGTGACAAGTTAATTTTGCAGATCTTACCCCAACCCCTGCATTCCGATAAGTGTGTTAAACTCGTTAACAGCAACAATGGAAAAGTCGAAAGCTACACACGGGTGCCGATTATACCTCAAATTTGTTCTAACATCTTTCACAAGTTTGCTAATTAAGGCAAAGCGCTGTAATAAATCGTCAGAACTTGATTGACAAATGACGGCAATCTGTGCAGATGTTAAAAGAAGATAAAGTAAACGAAACAACAAATGCAAAATCCGATGTTAGTGACGGTCGTTGAAGAATAGGTAGGCTCCCGTGGGATACGTGTCGGTTCAGTCGGTGTTAAATAAGTAAGTCCCAACAGCTCACAACCTCTTCAATATAATCTCCAAATTATACAATTAGCGAAGAATGTCGACTGAAACCTCAACGATGGCATTTGCGTCGCCACTGAATGTCTACTTTTCAATTGTTTCCCTGCAGATCTTAAAGGCTAGAGGGGTCCGCACAGCTACACACCACCTGCGACAGTGCCATTTAATACGTCACTTTGTCATACACTTCATAGGTATTTGTAATGCGATAGCAAACCATTGGATTTGATGCAGGTAGGTAACAGCACGGAAATGATGGGCTCTCAGCTTCCAAGTAATATTGCGGACCAAATTTGTGTATGTGGGATTCACTGCAACTGCTGCTCATTTATAAAGAAAGTGGGAAGTTTCTGAAATGGTGACTGAGCAGGTTTGTCTGCAAAATCACCACTTCTGCATAGTGCCAGGATTATCAAATTGCATCACCGAATGAATGCACAAGTTTAAGAGCTCATGGCTTATCAGCATTGTGTGAGAATATACTAAATAATGTAAGTTTACAAACATTGCACTGCTTTGATCTGCATTTTTGCAAAGTTTGCCCGAAAATCTAGGGAAGAACTTTACTTTCTTCTTTATGGACACTGGTATATCGGTGCTTTCTTCGGATAGATTGGGTGAGGAGGATGTGAACCGTTAAGCATAACTACGGCACATTGCGAAGTAGAACCACCTATAGCCATGAAGACATGAAAGGTGAACTCTCCTTAACCTTAGATTATGGCTTATCCAAGGGATATTATACTGACTCTGTTAAAGCTATTAATTGTACCAAATTCATCCATACAACTCCTCAACATTGAGCGTTAACTTCATGCAGAAAATGATTTTCGCGTTGGCTAGTGCCTTTGGTTATCATAACTCAACTTGTCGCCATTTTTATCCTAGGCACAAGTGTGAAATCCAGTGGTGTAGAAAATGTATAGTGAAGTATTGTTGGTCGGGCTGCGTTAAAGGGAGAATTTGGATTGCGGTGAATGGACAAGTCCACATCATACAAGAGACGGCAACTGTCGCTGGAAGCATAGGCTCCGGGGATCCATGAATTGGCTCGGTGAGTACTTGGTCAGTTTCACTAGTCCTGCATTAAGCCGGTGCATAAAACCACAGAGTCGGCAGTCCAGCCTCTTTTCGATCTATGTAGACAATCATTCAAAAGGTTAACATGCTTTCTTACTCAGAGTGCTTTGACATTAAGTAACTTTTAGTGTTGCTACGCTCTCGTTGACAGTCTTAGTGGTCATTCTAAACTTGTCCAGCATTCCTATTTCATGGAAATATAATTTATAGTGCAGCACTTATGTGGTTTGTATGTTCCTTTCAGAGAGGAGGCGGGATACGAATCGAATCTCATGACTGAGGAGGGAGCGTCCCTCAACCCGAAGAAAGGTTCCGTGTTAACAACCCCCTACACTTGTACTTGCTTCTCCCTATTTACTTATCCCATTAAACCTAATGAAGTCGAATCGACCAGGGTGTTCTGAGAGCATGAGGGCCGGGGAAGAGGACATCCACAAACCTCGTCCCACAATAGCCTGAGTAGATTTGTCTGGCAATTTTGAATACTTAAGATCATGGAAAATAATCCAAGTCTCGCTTTGAGGTGGCAATGTTTGGTGGACTTTGCAGCCTACCATGTAAACAATAGCGGTTGGATCCAATATCCCCACCTCCAGAACAAATCAACCACTATAGGTAATGTCTTCCTTCCAGCACAGGCAGATTAACATCTTACCCTTACTTTAAAAATTTACATGCCTTTTGCCACTTGCTGTGATGAATGGATTAAATATACCACTCATGCCTATGACTCATGAAACGTGGGTCTCTCAATTTCCACTGCTTCACTATTATTATTTCGTTGTAGGCAGGCAAAGATAAAGATAGAAATATGAGTGAAAGAAAACAATAATGAATAACTGCCCAAAATTTGGAAAAACGGTGCATCTGTGCATTTTCAAAGATAGTGGCAGGACTTTCTCAGTGAGTTAAGTGCTAATATGAGTATATTTGATAAAGCATTGCTTCCGACTGGAATCTGAGTTTAACCCTCTTCATCACAACTAACACACACTTTAAAATGTTGGTTATTGCATCTAAGCTATTCCACACTTTCGTGCTCACACACAGTAAACAGAATATGAGTTCTTCATTACCGCTTGCGCTAGCAAAGGTAGAATGTTGACAGAATGCTGCAACTGGATATCAAACTCACGTAGATTTCGCCGTACTCCTTCCAGGCAAAATACTCTGCATAAGCAGTGTCATTTCTGTCTAAGTACTGCAGGTATCCTGCCAGTTTGCTAATCGAGTTGAAGTCATCCATGTTGATAAAGGAATGCGGTGGGAGGACACTCTCGTATTCCTCCTTGTAAGCGCCCAGTACGATGGGAACCATCCCGTTTCTGCAAAAGTAGGAGTGTGTTGCAATCTCAACTTCAAATGCATACTTGTAGTGTACTTGTTAAGCATGGTCTTACACCTAGTCTCTTCGTCACTTTTACAGGCTTATAGCTGATCACCTGCGAGCAAGCACGAAATACATTCGCTTACGACAAGGACCAGAAATTACCTATCAATCAACGAATACCTCGACTTATAACACTTCATGTGTTAGCTTACAAAAATGCTCGTTCGATCAGAAAGCTGTTTTTAATATTTTTCTGCAAAAAAAGTACAAAAGCATTTTTTTTCGTGCGTGTGCAACCCCTTGTATTCCACATTAAGGTCGTTTATCTTTGAGTCAAGTGAATGCAGCTTCCAATAGGTTTCAGTACATTTGCCAAACTCAGCATCCACTGAATACATAGGGGAATGAAAATATGTTTGTTAACTTCACTTTCAAATTATCTCCCTAATTGAGAGAAAACAGATCTCCATACCTGTAAGCGTTGCCAGCCACCTTCTCTGTTATGTAATATTTACAATTGGAATTTTCGAAGGCCAGGTAGAATTTGTAGTTCTCAGAGATCCATTGCAAGGCATCCCGTCCCGGTGGCGTCCTTTTGCCTCTTCCACCGTAGACATCAACCTTGAATTTACAATTTATTGGGCTTACACATTACTTTATTCACACAAGGGCTTTAATCTTTAACGCTATGTAAGTCGACTTATTAAAGGTGGGTGGATGAGTGCTCCCTTGAGTGCTACCTAAAGAGCTGAACTTCACTTAAGAGTGGAATGCAGACTTTTGTGGCTCTCTAATATGGCTGATGTTTTGCTGCTTACTGGTATAATTCTGGAGATCAAGTGCACAAATCTCTCCCTTTTATTTCTTGGGCTTCCGTTGGAAGCCAACCAGGCGATTAACTTCTTCCCATTCCTGTGATGCGAAGGCAGTAGATGGGTACTGTTTTTGGCCAGGATTGCGGATACTTCACTGTTGGTAAACCTCATTCCGCGATTCGTTTTCCGCAAAAACATTGGGTACATGTAGGGCACTTGTGACCATGGCATGTAGGTAATGAACATATCCACCTAAATGACCAAATATTCAACCGACATTACTCTTCACTACTCAAGCAGTCATCGACAAATAATTGAGTGAGTTTTAAGTTGAAAGGGAACTAAAATGACTTGTTCCCAGCATATTTTTTTGTTTCTTAAATCTTGTCATCATCACTTTTAGTCAAGCATGAATGCTTTTTAAATAAGTCCGATGATTTTTTAACCAATCGCGCAGCTGTGTAAACCAGAGTTTACCTGCTTATTTCTTATTCAATGGCTGTTTTGCTAGCGCCAGAGACATCAGTTTCATAAATAGTTCTACTTATAAGGACATATTGTTGGATTTATAAGTATGCAAATCACATTGCTGACTAGCTGCAGATTTCACGTGGGCGCTACGTGGTCGATTATAGTTAAGAAACGAATAAGATCAGTGGCTAGGAAAAGGTTTAAGGTGAAATGGCTTGAGCGAAACTTACTTGCCCCCCTTGGATTTCAGTTAATTGTCTCATATGTACAGGACTCTCGACTGACTCGAAGGCAATAAGAGCACCATTTCGCTTTAAGCGTTCTGCATCTTCATTGCGGAACGACGCTGAAAAGACCGCGATGTCGCCTACCCTGAAATCTTGAAGGTGATCGGTAAAGTTGCATTTATAACGACATCCGTAGGATTCGGTGACGTGATACAATAGACGTCTGTCATAGTAAATCTTTGGCGGTTGGACAATTGATAAATCGCTCTGAAAAGAACAAAAAAGTACACCAAGACATGCCACCCATCATACAGCGATTTCAAGCACTTTAACTTGAATAATGAATGAAATGTTGCATGTTCTACCTCATTTTGCGCAAAAGCCGATATCCACTCAAGCTGCTCAATGACATGATGGTAGGGATATTGATCTCGAGACACGTTGGAAAAGTTCTTATTTCCATGGGAAAAATCACTAGAAATGAACCAATGATACTTTATGGAGAACCGTAGGACAACTAAAATGAAAAGGTTAGCAATCGCCCAGCAGGTGAAAAAGAGGGAAGATCTCGACCTGTTCATCGCGTTCCCTCAGCATACTTGCAGATGGATTTTATGCGAATAATTGTGTTGGAATTAGCCAATCTCAGATGATGAAATTCAACTGGCTACTTGGAGCGTCAGTTAGGTGAAGCCTTGTAAGAAGTATCAAATTTACACCTATAAGGGCTCAGCTAGCAAAACAAATTTATTGCTGGAACCTGGAATTGTTTTTACTTGTCTGAGCTAAGTTTGCCAATGCTGAGTGTCTTGGATGGAGTAACGAACTTCCTCATGGCGGCGTATTCACCCAAATGCGACATTGCTAGAATTACTACCAATATCCATTTATTAACTCCTTAATTATTAGAATGCAACTCGTATAGATCGAAGTAGATCACTCTTCCGTGGGTCATATCTTTCGGCTATCCATTTACCCAACTTAGGATTGGGAGACTATTGTTCTGCTTCCACAAACTGGCTGAATATACGGGATCTGCATTCTGGCTTACTCGATACTAATCAGTTCGTGAGTCGAATACAATTTTCCCTATTTTCACCAAAAGTGGACACTGGCCATTTTTCATGCGCGAGCGTGCAGAGGGCTTTTAATGTGAATCACCCAATGTTTCTAGACACGAATGAATGCGCTACCAGGCCTCATTTGATCTTCGGGAGGCACTCATCGCGCAGATGGCTTATTCCTCTTTGACCGCTTGCTGTCTCGTGTCACTGCAAAAGCTCATTCAACATTATCAATATATTCATGCGTCTTTGGACTTCCGGCCTGAGTTCTGAACGCGACTACCTTGTTAATTGCAATCCTGCAAATTAGTTTTGGTTTGTCTGACTCAAATCACCCATAATTGAACACGTGATTCTTTTTGAATCTGAAATAGCGAACATTTTTAGACTTCATTAAAACAATGTACAGCCCACTAACAAATATCTTTGCCTGTAGTAGGATCTCTTGGCAACTATTTCGTCACCTACATCTTGAATCTGTTTACCGTGGCAGATGTACTTTTAGCAGTCTATATCCTCCACTGTCTGAAGCTATTTCCCAACAACCTAAAATGCCATACACTCGAATTACAGTTGGAGCAGTATGGAACTGGGCCCGATCAGTGGTGAATTCCCACTTTGATTTAGTGAATTGACTGCGTTTTGATGTGAAGGAGGTACAACTATAACTTTGACTTTCACTGCATCGACTTATCAAACGAAAAGTTAGGCATCAAAAGACTTTTTAAACCTTATATGAAGTGCTTTGCAGTGGTTGCCCGAGCTAGCCAAAGTGGAATAAAGGAATCAGGACTTCAACCAATAAATGTTTATGTGAGTGAGTTTTATCGGTGTCGTCCTTGAGTCATATAATAATCCACTTTGTTACGGTCTCTCACAGGTGCTCCTGAGAGCTTTACTTTATGAAATTCATTTGGAAACTGTAATTCACAAACAGGCCCTGAATCACTCCTGGCGGTATTGTAACATGCAAGACCAATCCTGCGAGTCGGTGTTGTTAGAAAAGCTTATTAAAATTCTTTGCTTCAGTGCGGTTTTCCATGGAATAGTGTAGGTGTCTCAATTTGAATACTGATTTCGCCGCTGAGGGCCTTTCACTTGAGAATTAATGACGTGACTACCGTTCCAGTGGTGGTGAACAGCATTGTGCCCTACTTAATTGCTGAGTCGAAGCCAAGATTGAGTCGTTCAGATCATTTTACCGACTAAATTCAATTTTATGCATTGACCTTACCAGTTTGATTGCATTTATTAAAATACACTGTAAAAGGTAACACTGGTGCTTGGTAATGCTACCCGATTTCATCTGTGATTGGTCTGATAAGACATCATTGATATTTGATTTTAAAACAACAACGTTTTGTTCTTCAACATTACTCCCTTAAACAATTGCTGCTTTTCCACTCGAATTTTAGCACTTTTTTCTAAAAGACCGTGAGACACTTTATCCACTAAGAGCAAAGTGGAATAGGCCGTTGGGCGAAGCAGACGAGTTAAATGAAGAAGATGGAAGAAATCATGATGCGTAGCATGTGCTCTGCACTTTCATTCGTAGACGTCAGGATGTTTCGACGTCTACGATGACATCTCAAATTGGAAAAAAGAAATTTAGCTCCTCTATTTACTGTCAAAATCGTAATTTTCTTTCCAGGCTAATCACCAGAATTTTAATTGCTGGTGTCACATGAAGTAGGCCTGAGTAAGAGTGGATTGGGTTAGTTAGTTTAGAAGACTATCCTGAAGACAAGATTTTTGAAATCATAAATCAGCAGTTAATGCTTGATCACTCTACTGTTCTTCTGCATAATCCATGACAGAATTTCTTGCATATTTTCCTGTGTTTTATTGTGTGATTCTGTACTTACTGGTCTGACAGCGTTTCCGTGTGTAATTTTAGCAATCAAACGGTGGGATGTGACCGAAATCATTTATCGTAAGTGAAAGAAACGTTGAGGTCGGAGGTAATTGCCACATCCGTCAGGCCTAGTATAGTGTCACATAAAGCAGTAGCGTTTTCTTTTATTATGAAGGAGGTGTAACTAGTGAGGGTAACGAGATTGTAACATGGAGGTAAATGGGATTATGCAGAGCATTGGTGGTCACAAGATTCTACAGCAGCATGGTCGAATATATATCAATTTCGAACAGAATGACTGAGGCGCTACTGACGTGGTCCGAAAGGCCATGCCATCAAGCATAAACAATCTAGCCAGTTCCACTTTATGCAAAACTTGCCTGTTACCTAGAAGCAGGAAAACAAGGCTGTGCACTGTATTTGCGAGGTATGTGTTAACAAATTAAACCGAAGTCCAAACTTCAAATGCATACTTGTAGTGTACTTGTTAAGCATGGTCTTACACCTAGTCTCTTCGTCACTTTTACAGGCTTATAGCTGATCACCTGCGAGCAAGCACGAAATACATTCGCTTACGACAAGGACCAGAAATTACCTATCAATCAACGAATACCTCGACTTATAACACTTCATGTGTTAGCTTACAAAAATGCTCGTTCGATCAGAAAGCTGTTTTTAATATTTTTCTGCAAAAAAAGTACAAAAGCATTTTTTTTCGTGCGTGTGCAACCCCTTGTATTCCACATTAAGGTCGTTTATCTTTGAGTCAAGTGAATGCAGCTTCCAATAGGTTTCAGTACATTTGCCAAACTCAGCATCCACTGAATACATAGGGGAATGAAAATATGTTTGTTAACTTCACTTTCAAATTATCTCCCTAATTGAGAGAAAACAGATCTCCATACCTGTAAGCGTTGCCAGCCACCTTCTCTGTTATGTAATATTTACAATTGGAATTTTCGAAGGCCAGGTAGAATTTGTAGTTCTCAGAGATCCATTGCAAGGCATCCCGTCCCGGTGGCGTCCTTTTGCCTCTTCCACCGTAGACATCAACCTTGAATTTACAATTTATTGGGCTTACACATTACTTTATTCACACAAGGGCTTTAATCTTTAACGCTATGTAAGTCGACTTATTAAAGGTGGGTGGATGAGTGCTCCCTTGAGTGCTACCTAAAGAGCTGAACTTCACTTAAGAGTGGAATGCAGACTTTTGTGGCTCTCTAATATGGCTGATGTTTTGCTGCTTACTGGTATAATTCTGGAGATCAAGTGCACAAATCTCTCCCTTTTATTTCTTGGGCTTCCGTTGGAAGCCAACCAGGCGATTAACTTCTTCCCATTCCTGTGATGCGAAGGCAGTAGATGGGTACTGTTTTTGGCCAGGATTGCGGATACTTCACTGTTGGTAAACCTCATTCCGCGATTCGTTTTCCGCAAAAACATTGGGTACATGTAGGGCACTTGTGACCATGGCATGTAGGTAATGAACATATCCACCTAAATGACCAAATATTCAACCGACATTACTCTTCACTACTCAAGCAGTCATCGACAAATAATTGAGTGAGTTTTAAGTTGAAAGGGAACTAAAATGACTTGTTCCCAGCATATTTTTTTGTTTCTTAAATCTTGTCATCATCACTTTTAGTCAAGCATGAATGCTTTTTAAATAAGTCCGATGATTTTTTAACCAATCGCGCAGCTGTGTAAACCAGAGTTTACCTGCTTATTTCTTATTCAATGGCTGTTTTGCTAGCGCCAGAGACATCAGTTTCATAAATAGTTCTACTTATAAGGACATATTGTTGGATTTATAAGTATGCAAATCACATTGCTGACTAGCTGCAGATTTCACGTGGGCGCTACGTGGTCGATTATAGTTAAGAAACGAATAAGATCAGTGGCTAGGAAAAGGTTTAAGGTGAAATGGCTTGAGCGAAACTTACTTGCCCCCCTTGGATTTCAGTTAATTGTCTCATATGTACAGGACTCTCGACTGACTCGAAGGCAATAAGAGCACCATTTCGCTTTAAGCGTTCTGCATCTTCATTGCGGAACGACGCTGAAAAGACCGCGATGTCGCCTACCCTGAAATCTTGAAGGTGATCGGTAAAGTTGCATTTATAACGACATCCGTAGGATTCGGTGACGTGATACAATAGACGTCTGTCATAGTAAATCTTTGGCGGTTGGACAATTGATAAATCGCTCTGAAAAGAACAAAAAAGTACACCAAGACATGCCACCCATCATACAGCGATTTCAAGCACTTTAACTTGAATAATGAATGAAATGTTGCATGTTCTACCTCATTTTGCGCAAAAGCCGATATCCACTCAAGCTGCTCAATGACATGATGGTAGGGATATTGATCTCGAGACACGTTGGAAAAGTTCTTATTTCCATGGGAAAAATCACTAGAAATGAACCAATGATACTTTATGGAGAACCGTAGGACAACTAAAATGAAAAGGTTAGCAATCGCCCAGCAGGTGAAAAAGAGGGAAGATCTCGACCTGTTCATCGCGTTCCCTCAGCATACTTGCAGATGGATTTTATGCGAATAATTGTGTTGGAATTAGCCAATCTCAGATGATGAAATTCAACTGGCTACTTGGAGCGTCAGTTAGGTGAAGCCTTGTAAGAAGTATCAAATTTA